GCTATGGTTTAGATATGGGTGTCTCCCAAAGGCTCATGTGTTAAAGCTTGGACCCCAGCCAAAAAAAAAAAAAAGCTTGGACCCCAGCATGGTGCTATTGGGAAGTAGTGAGACTTTCACAAGGTGAAGCCTTAGGAGAGGAGTGTGCCCAGAAAGGAACTGCAGAACCACAGTATTTCAGGGTGTGTGTGTGTTTGTGTGTGTGTTTCGGATCCTATCTCATGATGTGTAAGGTTTGATCTACTCTGCACTCTGGATCCCTTTACAGAGGCCTAAAGAAATGGGAAAATGAGCCAGGATTGGGGGCACATACCTATAATCCCAGCACTTGGGAGGCTGAAGGAGGAGGATTGCTATGAGTTCAAGGCCAGCATGGAGTATAAACCAAGACCCTATTTTGAAAACAAACAGCCAGGCATGGTGGTGCATGTCTATAATCCCAGCACCTGGGAGGCTGAGGCAGGAGGATTGCTGCGAGTTTGAGGCTAGCTTGGGCTACATAGTGAGTTCAAAGACATTATGAACTACATAGGGAGAGCCTGTCTCAAAAAAAAAAAAAATTAAAGAAATGGGAAATATTTGTCATATAGAATTGTGACCCAAAATAAACTTTTTCTCTTTATAACTTAATAGCCTCAGCTATTTTTATAGTGATGAAAAGCTAATATATATTTGAAAAATTGGGAAAAATAGAAAAAAACCACAGAAGATAAGAATAAGTAAACCAGGCATGATGGTGTGCACTTATAATCCCAACCCTCTGGGAGACTGAGGCCAGAGGATTGTAAATTCAAGCTCAGCCTGGGTGACTTAGGGAGACCCTATCTCAAAATAAAAAATTACAAAAGGTAGGGGATGTAGTTTAGTACAAAGGCCCTGGGTTCAAGCCCCAGTACTGCCCCAACACACACACACATACACACACACACACACACATACACACACACACACACACACACACACACAACACACAAGCACTGCACACCCGTGCCCATTGCTCAAAATTAACAAATGTTAAGATTTTGTAACTTTTGCTTCAGATGAACTCTCATAAGACTCATAGAGATGTTGAAACTTCATTCCCTAATTTATTCATTTTCTATTCTCCTCAGAAGTCATGTGTGGTGGCGCACACCTGTAATCCCAGCACTCAGGAGGCTGAGGCAAGAGGATTACCATGAGTTCAAGGTCAGCCTGTGCTACATAGAGAGTTCAAAGCCATCCTGAATTACAGAGCAAGACCCTGACTCAAAAAGACAAAATAATAATAATAGTAAAAATCTCCTCAGATCTATGTACAGTATTATCATAAATCTATTGTTTGTACAGTTCACATTTTAAAAACCTTTGCTGTACCTACAACAGCCAATCAAATATTGGAGAACAAAGTTGGAAGACTGACACTGCCTGACTTCAATATTTACCAGAAAGCAACACTAACCGAGACAATGTAGTATTAGCAAAAGAACAGACAAATAGATCAGTGGAACACAACAGAGAGCTCTGAAGCAGACCTACAGAAATATACACAACTGACAGAGCTCCATGGTAGAGACCTTCTTTATTTATTTTGTCTTTTTGAGACAGAGTCTCGCTATGCAGTTCAGGCTGGCCTTGAGCTCGCTTTGTAGCCTAGGCTGGTCTTGAACTTGCAACGATCCTCCTGCCTCAGCCTCCCAAGTGCTGGGATTACAGGCGTGTGCCACCACACCTGGCTAATTTTTTTGTTTGCTCGTTTGTTTTTTTCCCGGTACCGGGAACCGAACTCAGGATCTCAAGCTTGCCAGGCAGGCTCTGTGCCGCTGAGCTAAATCCCCCACCCCGGTAGAGAACTTCTTACAGCATGCATGAAGTCCTTGCTTTAATCTTTAGCACCACAAACAAAACAAACAAACAAACAAAAAATATATATATAAAGTATCACAGTTTCTTCTAGAGCATTTCTTTTTGTGATGAAAAAAATGTGTGTTTTTTTTTAAGACAGGGTCTTGATATGTAGTACAGGCTGGCTTTGAACTTGTGGCGATCCTCCTCTCTCTTTTTTTTTTTTCTCCTGTTTCAACTTCCTGAGGGCTGGGATCACAGGTGTGTGCCACCACGCCCGTCTTTATATTTTCAAATGTCGACAAAACCACAGACATCACAGAATCATAAAAGTAACTTTATCAACCGGTCTGTAACCACGACAAGTTTTTTCCAACCCTGCATTTTTAAGCTGCAGACTTTTTGCTTTTTTGGTTTTTCTCTGGTACCCGGAAGCGAACTCACGACCTTGCACTTGCCAGGCAGGTGCTGTGCCGCTAAGCTAAATCCCCAACCCCTCTTGGCCTCTTCTAATGGGTATTTTACACTACCTTGGGCGATATTAGAAAAATTAGTAAAAACCATCAAAAAATTACTGACACTTGCCAGGAGCAGTGGCAGGTGCCTGTAGTCTCAGTTACTTAGGAGGCTGAGGCAGGAGAAGCCCTTGAGCCAGGAGTTAGGGCCAGGCTGGGGAATCCAGGGAGACCTCTGTTTCTTAAATAAAAAAAATTTCTTTTGGGTACTGGGAATCGAACTCAGGATCTTGCACTTGCCAGGCAGGCCCTTGTGCCACTGAGCTATATCCCTTAAATAAAATAAAATAAAATAAAATAATAAAATTAAATAATAATACGAATAAAAGTATTGATCGTTTAGAAGAGTGTCCGCAACTCCCTACTGTAAGTGCTTGCACAGGTGGTGCTTCTTGCAAGGAGCAAGCCCACAAGGGAACGCCAGCCCTTTCATCCCAGCCCTTGGGGCTCCCTTGGGTTGGTCCCCAAAGAGGGTGCTGGGACAGCTGAGCCAGGTCGTCACTGCCCTTCTCCAAGCAGCCAGTGGGGAGGGGTGCCGCAGCCCGCCCGCCCAGCCTGCAGCCCTCAGGACACCGCTCGGCCTCCGAGGGCGTCTTGCAGGCTGCGGGGTGGGAGGTTCCCGCGTCTGAGGCTGGCTGGAGCGCCTGTTTCCCCTCGCGTTCCGTAGACTGCTGAACTGTCAGAGTGTTCTGAAATTTAAGCTCCACTAGGTTCATGCCACCCAGGTGAGGGAGCTTTTCCATATGTTCGCACATCGCTTCCCTCCTTTAACATTGCGGGAGAACTAAAGAACCTTGGGACTTTGCCGCGCCGTCGCATCCCGCGTCTGGGGGGCTGCATTACTTCAGGTTCCTTGGGCGGGGCCTGCCCCTCTTCACTTTCTCCACTAGAGGGAGCCGTGGACCTACATTCCTCCTTACCAAGTGAAAAGGCAGAGACCTATTACTACGACGCCGGTTGGTGGCCAGAGTTTTGATTGACAAAGCTGTGAGCTAATGACTCGGAAGTAAGCAACCGTTGTTTTTGCATGTACAGCCAATGGAAGGGCAGAGATGCAGTCAACGGCCAATGAAGACCGGCCTTAAGCGTGGCACGAGGGCGGGCCTTTCCCGAGGGGGCCGATTCGGGGTGAAGAGTGTGAGGCACACATTGGAAGCGTCAGAGCACATCCGGTGTCACCAGAGCGGCGCGGCTCCTGAGAGGCAGGCTGAGAAGGTACGTGCGAGTGCGGAGTGGGGAACCTGGGGAAACGGAGAGGGGGCGACTAGGGTCTTGTCTTTGTGGGAGTGGGGGTAGCGTCCCCTTTCGGACAGTCTTTACGCCCTGAGCTCGCGGGGCCCAGCTCTGCGGAGCCGCCCGGGAGCGACCGCTGCGCGTGCGCACTGCGAGCGGCGGGGCGCGGGG